AACAGCTTTGACTGACGTAAAACCAGGTTTTGAAAATTTGGGCAAATGGATATTTTTGATTTTCTTTAATATCTATCTTATGCACATTAGAATAATAAAATTAATGTATTTCATTTCTAATAACAACTTTATTTAAAAATAAAATTTTGTTTTTTGTTTTGTCCTTTGTGGGTCTTTGTAGCATTTAGAATTTACATGTGGCTCTTTTCGGCCTCGGCCTTGCCCACCCCTGCCCTATACAAACTCCGTTTATTATCAAGGTACATATATTTTAATTCGCGCGAAATTTCTTCGTCTGAACTACTATTACTGATTTCATTCACATACTTGATTCTCTGCATTTGATCAGCATTCTTATCTTTGCAAGCTCGATTGGTATGTCTAATACCGCCGCACTCTTAACATATTACATTTTTACTATATACAACAAAACAAAATGTCGAGAATCGCCGCAACGGTAACAGCTACGAGTAGAAGCTGAATGCTCTACCACTCGCTCGATGCTTGCTGCCGACTCTCACTCGTACGCTGCTGTAGGCGTTGGTGTGTTGTCCCGCGATTTCCTCTACCTCTCGACGATCCCTGCGCTTGTCATCCATAGTCGATAGTTCCATTACGTGGAGACTTTCCATAGCTCAACATGTGCACGTCTTGGTTCTCGCTACTTGCTTCTTGCAATGTTTATTGGCTCCGTCCGACGCTAGTGCTTTTTTGAATGGTACTTCCATCTAATTTTAATAATTCCGGTATTATAGTTACAATTTTTAAACCGCATATCGTTTGATCGAGGACTTGTTCATCTATATCCGTAAATTTACACTTATCGGCCATAACTTTTAAAGTTGTTACATATTCTGTTATACTTTCACTTTCCAGTTTTTTCTCTGACGAAACTCGTATCGGTAAACTAAATACTGTATGTTACTTGTTTCATAATTTCGTCATGAGTTCTTTCTTTAGGTTTATTAGGTTTACATATTTTAGCAATTTTTTCGATAAGTTTCTGCATTCACTTTATTTGCAATGAAGTATTGGTCTAATCTGTCTATAAACATTTCCCAATCGATTTTAGGAATATCAAAATCTAAATTTGCAGAGCGTTCCATTTTCACTTCACTTTTCACAGTTTCTTCTTTAATGTTGAATATTTTTTTAGCCACTATGTCAGGTAGTACTATTAAATTTTTCGTAAATCGTTTATATTATCCTTTTCTGGTTCATATTCGATTAAGTTTATTTAACACAGTTGTTCCAACTGGTATTTTTTCAATGTCTGGATCCACGATGTTCCTTTAATTTCACGTGACATTCTTTGTTTTTGCCAAGGAAACTATCATTTTTCTATAGAGTCTGAATGTATTCAATTGCCATGTGCAGAAGAAATTTCTCGACACTTTGGTTTATCCTCGTCGCCAATTATACAATACGCGAAAGAGACAACTATTCAGGTTGAAAAAAATTAAAATTAAACATGATGAAGTTAATAAAAAAAAATTAAAAAAAA